AGTGAGAGGTACAAACTCTCAGGCATAAAATAAGCTACAAGGATGTATTGTACAGTGTGGGGAATAAAGCCAGTATTTTATAGTAACTGTAAACGGAGTATAACCTTTAAAAATTGTGAATCACTGTACTGTATACCTGTAACTTTGTAATACTGTATAGCAACTGTATTTCAACTAAAAAAAAGGAAAAAGGTGGCTAGAGACAAAGGTGGTGTCCCAGTTAGTTCTGCCTCCTGCCCATTCTTTTTTTTTTTAAATTTGAAATAGTCAGTTTGCAACGCTGTGTCAAGTTCTGGTGCAAGCGCAATAGCCTGGCCGACCTGCCTGTTCCTGATCGCCAAACAATGAGCCCAGCGAAGCCTACGCTTCTCACCCCCAGACAGCATTCACCATAGGAATGCCACTCTCTGTGAGGCCAGTGCTCCACAGCAGCTCTGTGAAGCCGGAAGCACGGGGACATCCATCCCTGTAAATGAGAAGCAGTCAGGAAACTTAGGGAAGTCAAGTCACAAACAGAAACTAGTACCCCAGTTCCTGTGACTTCGAGGTGGCGTCTCATTAGGTCCCAGTGGGCCCGCACGTGGGCCAAGGGCCACTGGGAGACTTCCATTCCCGTCTCCTAGCCCTTTTCCCAGCCAAAGCCTCACCTCCGGGCGCACGGGGTCCTCAATGCCCACCACTGCGATACAGGTCAGCTCAGTGAGGATTTCGGCCTCGTTGTCCCACAGGGGCTCTACGCTGAAATCCCGGTAAGCTATGCAGATCGTCCGGAGTCCCTCGGAGGCCATGGGCTCAATGACAGTGCGTATCATCTCATCTCGGTCCTTACTCTTGAACGGCACTGCTTCCCCTTTCTTGTCCAGGATGCGGTTACACCTGGGGAGGCACACAGTCAGAAAGCAGCATCCCCCTCCCCACCCACTGCGCCCCCACAGTCATTTACAGACGTTCTGGGAATTCTGCATCACTTCCAAAGATACTGTTTCGTCGTCACAGATCTCCATCCATCACCCAAAGCTGAGTCCCTTTTTCCAAGGTGGGGCGGCCGGTAGGTGGATAAGGCAGGCAGAGCATGTGATTCTCCCATGTCATCTGTCCCTCCTCGCACGTGCACGCAACACCAAGAAGGTGCTTTGTGGATCACCTCCTCTTTTCAACTTCCCAAAGGTAGAGAGACTTTCCCAATCCCCAGCGTCTAGAGGGCTCAGTGCGTGGGGTGTGCTCAGCAAGAATGCGTTGACTGAAAGAAGGCGGCCAACACTGAGCTGGGGCACTGGTTTTCAGCTGCTGGCCCTGTATCCACGTAGGCCAACTTTTAATGACCTGTGGAGAGTCTAACCACTTTAAGTTATGCAACTGCCTGTGATGAGAACTGAGAATGAACAGGGAACACAGAACTAACATCTCTAGTACCTGCTGTGTGCAAGGCATCTTACGTACACTGGGTCATTTAATCAGCCCGACCCTGTGAGATGGGCGGGTCCTCTCTTTCCAGAGGAGGAAAGGGAAGCTTGGGTGGCCTCGGTCTGCATCCTGGCTGTGCCTCTATTAGCTGTATCACCTCGAGCAAGTTACTCGGCTTCCCTGCACGTCTGTTTTCTCATCTCTAAAACAGGGGTAATGACCGCATCTACCTCGCTGAGCTGTGGAAAGTACCAGGAACCACCCGAGGTACTTAAGGACAATGCCTGTCGTCAGTCACGGTGCCGCCACCTCGAAGAAGGGCTCGCTCGTCACGCACGTGGATGCAGCGGAGAGCACGGAACCCAGACCTTCCTGCGGGCAGGATCCTGAAGGGCAGGAGAAGTGCAGGGAGGGGCACTCACTTGCGCAAGATGATCTCAGATGCGCCCTTGCTGTACATGCGGAAGCCGCCGCCGGGCTTCTGGATGACGGTGCTCATGGACTTGCGCACCGAGTTGAAGGTGTACACCTTGTACAGCTTCTCCTCGGGCACCTCGCTGCGCACCGCGTGGTAGTCCTGCTTCAGGTCCGTGACAAAGCCCAGCAGCGCGCACTCCGTCTTGTTGCCCACCTGCCGCGGCAGGCCCCCCTCCTTCTCCGGAGGCTGGGAGGGAAAAACGTGGGACTACTGAAGATGCCCCGGACAGAAGGGAACTTAGGAAGGAGAGGACTTCCCCACAGAGCTTTCACCTCTGTCCAGAGTCCGTGGGGTGGGTGGACAGTGGTCAGTGGTGACTGTGGTCCCTGAGCCACCTGGGGCTTCGGGTTTTTCGTCGCCCCGGGGCAGTGCTGGTGTCTCACCCTGTATGGGGGTTTTATTCTAACACTCTCTCTTAGTTTCCGGAAACTGAGTAGTTTACTCCCGATAAGCCCAATTCTGCTACCAGCATGAGGTCTCTTTCGAGATACTGCCTTTACATGGTGACCGCAGGGCATGTCACAGCCGTGGAGTCCCACCCGCCTCACGCCACCGCATCTACTCCCGTGCATTATTCCCTAGTCTCACCCCAAACGTGTTCACTGAGGAGCGGGAAATGGGATGTGGGATGGCAATTCAGGTCGAACAAACAAGAGAAAAGCAGTGGTTCCCTCCAACCACCCGCTTTAAGTGTCCTGGCAAAGGAAGAGCTCACCAGAATCTTGGAGGTATAGGCACTGTTGATAGAAATGCCATTGACAATGAGGTCCAGCACCTTGGGCACGAGGACGTCGGGGCTTGGGATCTGATGGTAACGGGTATCTCCGATATAAGCCTGCACCACAGTCATGCGGTTCATGGTCAGCGTGCCTGTCTTGTCAGAGCAAATGGCCGTGGCGTTGCCCATGGTCTCACAAGCATCCAAGTGCCGCACCAGGTTATTGTCTTTCATCATTTTCTACAGGGGAGAAGGGAAAAGTCTTGAGAGGGGACCAAACGAGCGCTCCCAAATACAGGTCAAAGGCCGTCTCCTAGTTAACAGCTCTCCACACTTCATCGTCTTGTCCTGCACAAAAATGCACGATGCCGTTTTTGTGACTCCTCTGAAGATTCTCCTGGGTTAAACACTGACGCAACTGATCAAGATGGTCCTTCCATAGTGTCAGTGGCTTCTGCTCTTGGGAGACACCACTCAGACTTTGTGAAGACAGAGTGGCCCATCCTTTTACCAGAGGTTACACGGCACCCTCCCCCTCCGGTCTCTGTCCTACAGGAAGAGAGTTCCAGTCTCACCTTCACAGAGTAAGCCAGTGAAATGGTGACGGCCAGCGGCAGCCCCTCTGGCACAGCCACCACCAGCACAGTGATGCCAATGATGAAGAACTTGACGAAATACTGGACGTAGATGGCGGTACACTCAGCTAGCCACGGTCTGCGATGTATCACAAAGTTGTCGATCACAAAGTACAGAATCAGGATGATCACTGTGATTGCAGACATGATCAGACCTGCCCGGGGACAAGGCACATGAGTCCAGGCTCAAGGGTATGCCTAGGGCCCTAGCCAGAGATGGCCTGGCATACATTGAAGCTTTTGCTATGAAGTTTTAAAACGACCATCTCCAGGAAGTCACACCAAAAGCGCCGATCCATCCTCTGCTGCTTGTACATTACAGAGAGGGGAAAAGACATGACTTTGCACTCTAAAGACTGGGTTCTAGTCTCAGTACTGCACCAACTCGACTCGTGGCTTTGGACTGGGCTTTGAACCCCGCCCCCAACCCAGTCTATTTCCTCATTCATAAATAAAGGGGTTGGTCTAGTTTTCTAAAACATCATTCTATGATTCTATCTCAGGCCTACCTTCTTCCCACAAATCATGATGTAGTGCCTGTCTTTGCCTGTTCCTAGTAGTCTGTCAATTTGGGCTTCTCCCCTCGCAGCCTGGAGAGCGTCAGGCAATTCATGACCTGTTTCCAGCGATGCCCCTGTGGTGTTAGCACATCACCTACACCACTAACTCTTAGACCGGTGCTTCCCAACCTCCCTCCTGATATGGTACAGACAGAAGACAACAATAGCAAGCAAGTATCAATATAGTGGTTCCTACGAGTCAGGCAAGGACTTCAAATCCTCATAACAACCCTGTGAGATAAGTTACTATTATCAACCTCTTTCACAAGGAAACTAGGGCACGGAGAGGGTTAGATATGGTACACTGGAGGGGGACCAGCCATCCTGGTTTGCCTGAGACTGAGCGATTTCCTGGGATGCAAGACTTTCAGTGCTAACACCAAGAAAGTTCCCAAGCGAACCGGGAGAGCTGGTCACCCTACACATCCTAAAATGGAAGAATCTGCTCACGGTCAGAAACAACTGGCCCAGGGGCTCCGACGGCCTCGGTTGCTGCCTGGCTGCTCGGAGTGCTGAGGGGATGGGTGTTTGGGCACCTGTCCCTGCCTGTGGCACAATACCTGGGAAGGGCTCTGATTCAAACCATACGCTGAGTTCTGCCTGCTTTTCCCAAGGGTCCAATGATTCAGAGGAATGAGGGCAAGGCTAGAGGTGATTATATCAATGAAAGCACATTCTTTTTAAAAAAATTTTACCTTTTTCTTATTTGTTGTTGGGGGTTACACAATTAGGTTTATTTATTTCCTTTTTAATGGAGGCCTGGGGATTGCACCCAGGACCTCGTGCGTGCTGGGCACATGCTCTACTACTGAGCTATGCCCTCCCTGCCTCCGAAAGTATATTCTTTTGTACTTTGCATCCTCAGGGTCAGGGCTAAAAGCTGAGGCAAGCAAGGCATCTAGGATGCAACAGTTAAGGAGGCATTCACTCTCAGGGTGGTGCAGGCCATCTCACTTGCCGCCCCAGAGTCCTGGTCTCGCTTGGTGTGTGAAATGAACAAACAGAGGGGACAAGAGGCCAGCCCTCGGGTGGCCTGGACTCCCTAAAGAACAAAGCAGGCATCAGGAGCACAACAGGAGGGGTTAGGCAGGGGCTGTTTAATGTTTCAGACCTGTGTGCCAGGCTCAGTGACTGGCCTCCAAGCTTGTAATTCCTCTCACCCGTGCATCGTCTACATGCAAAAGATGTGGTGGAGGTCCGAATGAGCTGGGGGCTGGAACTGAATGAATGGGTGAGAATCACACTGTCCAGTAACTCTCTGTGACGCTTAAAATGTTCTCTGTTCGCGCTGTCCAATATGGCAGCCACCAGCCACATGTATTTACTGACCAATTCGAGTAGGCTAACGTGACTGAGGCGCTAAACGTTTAATTGGGCTTAACTTTCCTGCGTTTAAACGGAAGCAGCCACACACGGTTAGCAGCTGCAGCAGCGGACAGTGGAGACCCCTGCTAACTCAGTGCGTGCTTAGCAGAGCAGCGGCACCTGCCTCGCCCGGGGAGCTTATTACAAATGCAGAATCTCTGGATCCCAAGCCCAGACCTCCTGAATCAGTGTCTGCACTTTAACAAGATCCCAGGTGAACTGTACACACAGAAATGTACTGGACTAGACTGACTGTAATAAACACAGAGGTGGGGTCAGGAAATAATTAAATAGTGGAAAAAGACTGTACTTGAAGGGACGCGTCCACCGAAGGGGCCAACTTCCTTTTGTTCCCTCCTGCAACCCCCTCGCCAAGCCACCCCAACGCTGAAAGAAGGCCGGAGAGAGTGTAGAAGCAAGTGATGGAGAAGCCACTTCCTCTCACGATACACAGGAGTGCCTTAGTGACCTCCGCTCTGGAAGGAGCCTCGTTCGTCACTGTCTTCCTCTTCCCTCCAGTCCTCGTTTTGAACTGATTGCTCCGTGCCTGGCCAGGGAACTGCCCTCGGCATACAGCAGCCTTCTCTACCCTTAAGGAATCTACAAGCCCATTCATACACGAGACAGGTGACTAGTCATCAAAGCCTTCCTTCTTGCTAATGCGAATCTTCCCTGAGTGATACAAGCTCACCACGTCCCATCTGTTTGGGCCTTTTACCCTGACACGCAGGGAAACACTTCTCTCTGCAGAAGCCTAGGGAGTGGCCAGATGGCTGCAGAGGGGGACACGGCCACCTGGACTGCACTAGCCACTCGGGAATTTTCCGTTTCTTTCTGCCAGACCTGGCTGGCGTAGAAAGAAGGCCACGAGCGCAGCGGGGATCCAGAAGAGCACGGAGGAACGACCCCGAGACGGCTCCACCCTCCTCCGACTCACCAGCTTTCCCAATCTGAACAGCCAAGTGCGTCAGCTTGCCCTGCAGCACCGACTTCTCCTTTCTGGGCAGCTTGGCTGCCTTTTTCTCCTTTTCCTCGCTGTCGAGCCCCTCCTGGCTGTTGAGTGGCTGGATTTCCAAGGCCACCCCATCCTGAGTCTTTGCTAGAGTGCACACAAACGGGACAGGTGAGCGGGCAAGGCAGCAGCAGCGAGTAGCAGGCGGGTGGAAACCAGCAACCCTTTCTGCCTTATTCCTGGAATTCGCCTTGGACCCCGGCGTCAGAGCTGACCACCGCCACCCCTGCCTGGCCGGAGCTTGCCTCCGACCCTCTACTAGGGCCTCTGGAATGATATTCTAACAACTAGAGGGGAAATGGGTGCTTTCAGGGTATGGATTTCTCCTTCAGTGGCAGCTTCCTGGCGCAACCTCAGAGCCCCAAGCCAGGTTTCTTCCA